CACCACTCATTGTCTGCTCCTCACACTCTGGCAGGCACTTATCACACAGCTGCCTTGTCAAGTTAGCTATCTTCCCATGGGGTGTGTGTGTCTTATCTCCTCATTGAGATGAGCTGGAGTCTTACATTTCTCTCTAGGCCCCAGAGGGGTCTGGTACAATCACATAATCATCCAAGTCAAGGAAATGCTAATTGACTGATCCCACCCCCACCCTGCTTCAGAGTGATCAGTTTATGGGTCTCATAGCTTTGGGATCCCAGGTGTCAAAAGGTTATCAATGTCCCAGGAGAATGGACTTGGGGGACAGATCCCCAACATCACAGTTTCAGGTGGGAGAGCAAAAAATGCCCCCAAAGATCATAAGTCATAAAACATAGGTCATTTACAGTTCACACTTATACAGGTCTTTAACCTAAGGTCTCAATTATACAGTCACGTTTTCTAAAGGTCAAGGTTAAAAGTCTATTAACTTCTCAAAGTCAAGGGGCTCTTGCCAAATGGGTGTCAAAATATCCTGGAGCAGGACCTAGAGAAACAAGGTCAAACAATTCCTGATAGCCTCACCTGCGCTAAGGTACTCCTTCTTAGTGGGTCAAAGGACTCCCCCTTTCTTATATTCTCTTCTCTCCTCACCCTACCAAGGTTTTATCACCTTCCTACACCCTGAGAAAAGGACAGCATGGCATAATAGAAGAGCAGTCAAAAGATCTGGGTTCTGTGCTTGTCTCTGCCACTAATTGTCTGTGTGACCTCTGGCAAGTCATTTTCCTTCTACCGATCCTGTTTCTTCTGATGTGAAAGGAAGGAATTGGAATAGAGTGATCTGTTAAGGTCCCTTCCCAGTTCTGACATTTAGTGACTGTGGCTTCATCTGATTAGGGGAGATTGGCTGGTGAAAGGGCTATCAGAGCCTGGACCCTCTGCTCCCCTTACCCAGGGGTAAAACACAGGTCCTGATTGTGTATGAGGGGTGAGACCATCCACTTTTCACCCTTCTCATTTGAGTCTGGCTGGAAAGGGAGAGCTCAGGGACTGGGGAAGGGAAGTTTTGCCTCTCCCAATCCCTAGGGAAGGAAGGGCTGGTCATTGGTCATGAGGTTGTTATGGAAATGATAAACAAACAGATGGGGGGGGTGGAACGCTAGCCCCTCATGCCAGTCTAGGAAGGGGAGAGAGGGAAGGGAAAGCCAGGCCCCAGAGTTACCCAAGCCAGAGGATTCTGCAGTCTTAGTTCTAGGGCTCGATCTGAGTGAGGGAGTTCAAAGCCAGGACATACTTATGGAGGAAAGGAAGCTACAGAAATGCTGGGGTTGCAAAGGTCTGTGCTGGGGCCAGACCTGGGATTCACTTTTTGCTATGTTACTCCAATACCTCTCCCCCTCTGTCCACACACACACACACACACACACACACACAGAGAGACACACACACACACACGCACACTTTCCATTCTCATCTAAAGAATCAAAAGCATTTATTAGGCACAGTAGTGAGTGTGTGTGTGTGTGTGTGTGTGTGTGTGTGTGTGTGTGTGTGTGTG